TGACTACAGTAAGAAATCAATAAAATCTCCAATTGAATTCGATCAACTTTAGAAAAAGTTGTCACATGTACCAACGTTAAGGGATATATGTTTTTTTAACCTTTTACCTCATATAGACGTGTTTTGACGGCTTTTCGCCTCCTCCCCCTTTTTGAGGACACAAACAGTGAAAAAATGCCCTATTAATGGCCCCAAATACTGTTTTTCGTATGAGAAATGTTTTGGTTTTTTTTTTTAAAAATCACTTTTTCAGCGCCGCCCCTCAAAAAGGTACATCAAGAGGTTGCCAGAAGGGGGATGTGCCCCCTTTTATTTAGGGGAATGAAGGGGGAAGACCCCCTCATCACCAAGAAAATTGTGGACATGTGACAGGCTTGAAATGACCTCAGGTCAATTTTAAGATAACGTGTAACAAACGCTGAAAAGCCTTTTACTCTTTCTCAATCCATTGAGAAGTTGCAGGACTTGGAAATCAGTTTTGATGGAAAATAACAATGCAAAATTGTGATTTTTCACAATTTTGAGACGTCCCCCCCCCCGTTGCCATGGTAACAGGAAATTTAAGATTGAGTTACAGAGGCTATGGTCCAGTCAACATTTGTGCAGTTTCATCAGTATTGAAGCATTTTTCATAGATTCATAGTTGAGGAGGCCTTTAAATGAAAACGGCCTTTTTTCACAATATGCTCATGCGATAAAAGGTCAAATATATAAAAATGAGAAATTGTAATTATATTTTATAAATAAATCTGCAATTGAGCCAAACATCAGTAGGATTTTAAATTATTATCTTCACTATTGTGATTCTGTTGGGATTGCGCAGAGGCAGCGTGTGTGATTTCCATTATTTACATTAGGATCTGTTTACCCCAGCCACTTTTCGCGTCGCCTTAGTAAGACAAAGAAAAGCCATAGGTTGTAGCAAACTTTTGTAAAATGACAAAATATACAATAGACTTGTTTACTAATGTTTGTTTGATATACTTGATCGCTCATTTGAAGTTATTTTATCCTTCTTTTTCATGAAAAATCAGTTAATTTACAATATTCATATTTAACAAAAAATGATTAGGATATCTTAATTTGGTAGTTTCAACATAAATATACGAGTATTTTGATAATTAATAAAATTTAGCCACCATCTTGGCGACCATTTTGAATTTTGGGAACCACATTGATTTTGAGCTTGGGGTCTCGATGAAATTTGATGGGCAAGATATCAAACTTTAAACATACAAAGTGGTTTGCTTGTAGAATTATCTGAACGATTCTTGTATTTTTCCCTCGGATGGACTCTAACTAGTAGTGAAAAAAATAATATAAATCGTGGAAAAGATCTTATATATTCAGCATAGAAGCACGTTTGTTTTAATAACAAAAATAATAATATAACAAGGGACATCACCCATGCCGACTTAACTTAACTATTAATGTGTGGTGTATTTCAACAAAAAATAGAATGAGAGTTACCCAATTAGCTTTCAGTTATAGTGGTTTAAATAATTTTATGGTAGAATAAAAGTTTAATCGTCAATAACAACACTATAGTGGCTGCTTTTCGCTTTTTCGCTCCGCGGGGTGCCAAGCGAAAACACTAAAATAAGACATAATGACGAACATCTTTCAGTATATATATATAATCTGTAAGGTTTATTTATATGCCAAAGTGCCTCAGATAGATCCAGTGATCAATTCATTAAACTTATAGAGAGGTTTCAGAGAAGTTACGTCTTCAAAAATATTGTTTTCAACCGAATGTCAAAACCCCTTGAATGAACTTATTCTAGAATTTAGGATTATAATTACAAACACATTTAAAATCTAAAGGAACAACTTGTATCTCAAAATGTTTAAAGACAAGTGTAAATGAAAGTGGAACACTGAGATATTAGGCTATGCTAAGTAAATGTAACTATACAGAGTAATCAACATTAAACTATAGATATTAATAACAAGTGAGGTTTACGCACGCGTAAAATGACTGCGTAGGAATGGTCAGCTGTGCACTGCACACCTTTAGAAGAGCTGAATAAAATGCTACCTTGACGAATGTCTGTTTAGATCGGCGCAGTTATTGAATTTATAGGGCAAGCGTTACGACACGAAAATTCCATTTCTTCAAAACGAACTTGTTTCCTTGTTTGTAAAAGTCAACAGTTAAATATTTTCAAAAATTCAGAGCAATGCAGCAGCTCTATCATTGACAGCTCTTTCACTTTAGGTTGAGACAACGTATTTCCGCATGATTTAATTTTAGTCTGATACCACGATATTAATCGCGGTAAACTTCAGACACTTGCACAGTCCATTATTAACATACTTAGATAAGAAGACATTGTCTATCCGTTTGTAGGAAATTTAAATAAAAATATTTTGCAACAAAGGCAGAAATTTAAAATTGGTCATGAAGTGTACAGCTGATGCATGTGAATGTTAATATATACCTGTGTTTTTACTGATGACTTGCAAAATAAATCGTATCATTTCACAGTAAATCATGCGTCTCATTTAAAACAAGTTTGATTCTTTAAAAAGAAGCATGCGAGAGGTCTTTTTACAGCTATTGAAGATGGGTTTGTCAAATGGCGGGAAAGTAAGAGAATTGCGCATCTGCGAATAATAGCAACATATCGGTCTGCGAATAAACTCAAATTAGGAATAATCAGCGAGTTGTTCCAAGGTTAAAATTATGCATCATAGTTAAATTCTATCAACAGTCTAAAAGCAAATTAAACACTTCGGCTACAAGAACTTAACTCAACAACAACACCACTTCAACTCCAATTAACTAAACGAACCCGACAAATAGAAAATTCCAAGCTTATAAACCGTTTGTTTGAGCATGCAGCTAACATGGTGTGCAATAGTAGACTGGCGGGAGACCGGCTTGCGGAAATCAGTATGCACGACTCCTTGCGCGATTTGAATTTTGCGCCACCAATTTCAAGTGCTGACACGCCTTAACAATGTTCAAAATGGCGCACAAGTGGCTCAGGTATACAGATTGTTATGCAAAACAAACATAAGTACAAAAATACATAATAGTTAAAACTTATATAAATATACATGTTTATTCAATAGCATAAAGTAAATATACGGGTACCATTTACTGAATACAAGATTGATACACTTACTTTTGATTGACAATTCTTTGAATACGAGAAAAATACACTGAGAAAACCCCCCTTCAACATTTGAACCAAGTATCTGTATACAGATAAAGCAGTAAGAAATTTCATTCATAAAATCTGATATTTTGTGATGCTGAAGGGCTAAAAATAGTATTTTAAGTCTGCGTGACCTCTTGTTACGCGACTTATTTAGAACAAGCATGCCTGGGAAAGCTGATTCTACGCAACCTTTAGAGACCTTAAGGATTAAGCATTCGCATAGCTATGTTTGTAAATTGATTCTAATGTTATAAGACTTTTAACGAGATTCATTAACTTAAATTTTAGACACAAAAAGGATTACGCCAACAATAACCCTCAACACTGTGTAGAGGCCTGATGACCTCTCCAATCATATAAGACTCGGCTGCTTCGCAACCAAATAAGTATGAAGTGAACATACATATTCAATATTATGATAAATTTTAAATCTTAGTTTAAACCTTTATTTCTTCAAACACATTTATGAAGATTATATGACTTGTGTACTTCTTCATATTATTTAGTAATAATAATATAACATGTTGTAGTTGGGAACCAACTTTACCACAAATAAATACAAATATTGTAGTCATCTTACATGTTACGCTCTGGTCGGCTGTAGTATTTCCTTGCTGATTCCTATTCTAGGTATCTGCACAAGTTATTTCTAGACAAAGTCAGGGATGTGTGGCTTAAATGTGGCTAAGCTTAAACTGAAGTTTCTAGCTTAAGGGTTTATTTGCATTTACCTTTACTTAAACTATTATAAGAAAGACTAAGATTTAGTAAATTTAAATTTAATTTTTAATTCCTTCAGAGTTTATCTAAATTATTATATGAGTAATAAATCAAACTATAGAAGCAAAACACATATGACATAAAAAAAAAAGTCCAAACAACAATTTTAACAGGGGACTAGTTAAAATTTTGATCTGTGCTAAAGTAGCTTAATGTTATTAAACATATTTGTCAACAAGCCTAAGTTTAAACAATAAATTTATAATATAACCTGCTGTAGTTGGAAACCAAACAAATAAATACAAATATTGTAGTCATCTAACATATTTTTCCGCTCTGTGCTCCGGCCGGCATTAATATTTCCTTCTAGGTCTCTGCACAAGTTATTTCTAGACAAAGTCGGGGGGAGTGTGGCTCAAATGTGGCTAAGCTTAATCGAAAATTTCTAACTTAAGGGTTTATTTGCATTTACCTTTACTGAAACTAAGATTTAGTAAAATTTACATAAATCAAAAGATTAAATCCTAAATAACATTACTGTAACCTTGGTATCTTTGATCCGCAGCTTATCTGTGAAAAATTTGTCTTTAAAATCGTTTGACAGTTTCAGAGTTTGACTATTCTAAATATTTGTCATAGGTAACTACTAAAGAATGTAACAATACTGAAAAGGGAATATTCAGTTCAGATTAATGAAAAAGTGAAACATTAATTTCGAAAAACCTTATTAGAGTCCCTATAATAAATACAAATGTAGTAGTCATCTAACATACATTTCTCTACAACAAACTCCCCTCTTTGGAATGTTAAAGCCCTTTTTATTTCAAAACTTAATACTCATTCATATCAAATATATTCCATTTAAGTATGACTTCAAATATCTTAAATTTCCATCTCATCCACCCCAAAAAAGCAAATAAAATATACTTTACAACCATTAATTTTTGAAATCGCTTTTACATAAACAAAAAACAATTACATTCAAATTATGCTTATGACATGTATTTTTTTTTTCATAAATTTTCTAACATCCACATCTTTTTCAACTGTTGTATAATGTCACACACATGTATCAAAAATAAAACAGTAATTATCATACAGAAATCACGTTTGAATGATATTTTTATGCTATTTTACTGTTTGCAAGTAATGTATTTCTTACTTTTTTATAAAAATGAATACCTTTTCTCATTGTTGGCAGATAAAAAGTAAAGGGTTTATTATGCCCTTGCAATTTGTACACTATATCTTTTTGACTGAAGAAACCATTAACTTCTGATATTTAAACAATATAGCAGGTACCATTTGCAAGGCCATTTTTGCCATCAAAAATATCGCACAAGCTCTTGCATACGACGCCAACTTTTGAGAAATATTAAGGACAATTGACACAGGGAGTTGTCCATGGAAAATGGTTAGAAATACAAATGAACATCATCTGTTGGACAAGCTGACAAATATTTTTGAATGCATTATTATCCCTGCAAATGGCTTTGCTATACAAATTCTAATTCATGCCGCTTGACACAATGATTAACATTAAACAATTCTTTTTGCAATGTTGGTCTCTAGAGAAAGGTATCCCTTTACATTTTGCTGAAACATCAAACACGATCCTAAATTATGTTGTTACTTTATCAGTCCTAAGTACGACCGTCAAATCTTACGAAAGAATACGTCATCAATCTGACAACAAAAACTATTTTCTTAAATTTCTCTAATACTTTTTTTTAATCGATTGACAATAACAAGTCTGAATTTAATTGAATGTTGTTCTATATCTAGCCTTATTTTGTTTAAATTGGAGAAGGTGAATGTTTTTCGCTTCGTCATCTTCTCGATCCTACCATCTATCGGTTCCATTTTTCGACAAAGTTGTCATCCTTTATTTTAACAATAACAATGTATAAACTTTACTCTGCAACCAACATCCTGCGAAGGTGAAACAACATTCGTCGTATCTACGATATTTAATTCAACATCGATGTACTTTTGAACGATGACAAAAAATGGAAAAAAGTTCGAACTAAGGAAAATCACTCATTTGCATTTTACTTAACAAGAAACAATTACAATTATTATGTCATCTAACACATATTTCAGCGAACAGTATATAGAAAATGTACATAACCGTACAAGGATCAAAGAGCTTCAATTCAACAACGTGCTAGCTTTTTTACACCGATGCAAGAGCCATCAACAAACTTTTGAGACCCTCGGGTACAACTGTAAAGAAAGAGTCCTCTGATACAGATTTAAGATCAATTGCAATTGTTTTATGCGTTGCATAAAAAGATCCAGGGAGTATTTCTGTCGATTCTGGTAGTGTCACTACTAAAATCAATGTTTTGGTGTTCCTGTTTTCAACAATGCTTTGCATTCTATCAATTATATGTTGCATTTTCTTATTGTCTGTATCAAAATCTTTTAAAACCACGAAAGCATTCGATTTATTCATTATGTCTGTTATTCCAGTTACTTCGGGTGTCCCTGGAGTAATCGCTGGACTATCTGTATTGAATGTTGTTTTCAGTCCAAGATTATCTAAAAGCATCATTAGTTTTCGACCATTTTCGTCGTCATCAAGGTTTGAAAGAATAAAAAGGTCTAATGATTCATTTTCCTCTGCATCTATGTTTGTTTCATCAGACGCTTCAGTATTTTTGTGAGTTTGTTGAGATTCTCTCACAAATCTAAACGCCTCTTTAATACGCATGTTCCCCTTTTGATAATGTTGTCGCCTGAAAGCATCTAAACCAGCCTCGATGAAAACTTCGATGTACAGATGCTTTTCAATAATTGGTTGCCCATCTTTAAGTTGCTTAGACATACATAGAGCGATGACTGCCTCTTCGAAGTTTCTCATTAAAAAATGATGTTTTACAATTCCCTCAATGAACTCCCTTTCTTCTTCTGTGTCATTTGCTAATGTTTGTAGTTCTTGAAGTATTTTAACTGCATCGAGATGCTCATTTAGCTTTCCGTAAAGATACCATAGCTCCTTAAGTGTATCTTTCGTTCTTTCTGTCTCTAATTTATCATTTAGGAGATTCCCGAGTGTCGCAGCAGATTTCCAGCCATTTTCGAGGGATGGAATCTTATCAATAAGGGCACATGAAATCTCAATTGATGATTTTAAATAAAAGTCCCTTGTTGCCTCTAGATCTCTTTTTTCATTCATTTTGCCATCATAAGAGTTGAGTAACATATCACTTATACAAAATGCGGACTGCTCGTAAATATTCGCAAGCATAATGCGTGTATTGAATTTATCATTATTCTGTAATAAATCTGTTAAAACCGTTAATGCAGTTTCAGGTTGACTTATTTGCCTGTAAAGTAAGGCCTTATCGTATATTGCATTCGTGTTTGACGACATTTCATATGATGTATCAAGATACGCAATGACTTTATCAACAACAAGCTTGTGTTCATTGTAGTCTATAATGATTGGTTCTTTTGGACATTTTATTCCAGACCTGCTTTTCAGCCTCGACCGATCGAAGGCTATATTAGTACCTCGGTTGCGACAACGTTCGGGTTTCGTGCTAATTTGTGGAAAGTTCTCTATTCCATCTTTACAGTCCATGAAACGTTGTAGTAATTGCCGAGCTAACCCCCCTCTGTTTAATTCAAGTAGCCTTTTAAACGTCAGGGCAATGTGATGATAACCAAAAGAGGTTGGTTTGATTTGAATAGCTCGAGTTAGTAGATCTATTGATATTTTATGTTCATTTATGTATCGGAAATACTTCCCGCTTTGTTCAAGAACAGATACATCATCCGGATAATACTCAAGAGCTTTATAAAAATAATCTGTCGTATCCATAAAAAATGATGAATGGGTAGGTATCAACTCTTCCATGCCATTTGGAAATACGGATCGATTCCTAGTGACATCATAAGAAATAAAACCCATTTCGACATATGATCTCGCTTTGTATCTCTTGATGCAATCGCTTTCACAATTTTCTAACCCAATTATGTTCATATACAGGTCTAGCGTAACACTGTAATAGTGTTTCTTTTCCTCGATATCTGCTAGTTCGACATTGTTATTCAAATTTGACTGTCTCCGTTGACACAGGGCTTTCCGATACATCCACACACATACATAGTCGGTCGGAACTTGAACTGTAGTGGAGTTAGCAGCAGAGTCCGATACATTATCCAGTTCTTTAATCTTCTCGCAATCTCGAAGAACGTTTTCAAACTCTGACGAAGCCTTCTTATAATTCCGTATTCCTAGTCTTGAATAAGTAAATGCTACCTCAGCTTTTGCGATTATAAAAGCCAATTGATTTTGTCTCTTTATTGCTTTGAGATGTTCACAAAGTTCTTTGCACTGCATTATGTTTTTAAGGTCTCGCAAAGAAAACCATGCTTTATTCGATAAAGCTATCATATTCTCCGGTTCTCTGTCTAAAACTTTGTCGTTAAACTCTCTTGCCTTCACTTGATCTCCAAGATAAAAATGAAGAAACGAAAGGAAATTCTCGACTGTTAACTTTTCCATGTCCGTGCTAAATTCTTTTTCAGAAGATTCCAGTTCAATCTCCAATTTGTGTTTTTTCTTTTTTATTTCTTCACGTGACATGGTAGCTATTGTTTCTGTGACACTGAAGCTAGAAGGGTACTGACTTAGTGTCTTTTTTATTTCCTCCATATCGTTGGCTAGCTGAAAGATAAGTCCTTCACTTTAATTCAATCTGAAATAATAAGAAATTTCAACATAAATGTAATAAATCATTTTTTTTAAATAATGTATTTCTATTTTAAAAAAAATTAAGAACATGATTTAAAGAGATTTAAACAGGTTTATGAAATAAGGGGAAGCGTGTACGGTTTGCACGGTTTGAGATGAAGCACTTATTTTGAGATAGAAGATCAAAACTGCTACTTATAGATCATGTATGTTTTGTGATTGATATTGTTAATGTGTGTATTCCACACTTGCCAAAACATATACGATATATGTATATAATTATGCAAATAAACCAATTTTCAAACATCGAAGAATATGTTAAATGTGTTCGCAAAATATGTGTGCACAACATATTTTATCAATAAATTACATGCATTCATTTCTTAATGGAAAATTTGAGAAAATAAATTTCTAATTACCTCCCTTTATTTACATGAAATGTTAAATTGGGTAATATCTTTATTAATAAAGCTTGTTGGAACTTACAATATTGACAAATCTTAATTTGAGGATCATATGTATGAAATTAAACCATGAAAAAATTGTGTTACAGGATCTTTAACCTATATACATTGTACATGCATATTTATATGCAGGTATAACGTTTCAGTTTTCGTCCTTAGTGTTAAAACGCACTAGTTGTTAAACAACTTTCTTACTGATTATATGTCCTCAAAAGTACATTTACAGTGGCAAAAAATACACCACGACAAAACAACACAGCTGAACGCAATGAAAACTATATCATAAAACATATGTTCGAAGAATTAGTTCGAGCTATTGCTTGATCAGTCAGGTTGCCATTGCTGTCCAGAATATTTTACATTTGCCATTATATTTTTTTAATTTCTCAAAGGATTGTCTTCATACTTGGACAAAACAACCCTTTGGTCAATACCTTCATGTAAACCATACTGACATTTACATTGACTCATAAATGACCTGGACCTTCATTGTCAAATGTTTGACAGGGTTTTCATGATTTTGGCTTGAATTGGCTATTACTTTGTTATTTATAAATGAATTGTCTTAAGACCTTTAAGTGTGTTCAATTGATTCTGACTTTCACTCATCAATGACCTTGCCATTGAAGGTCAAATTAATGAATTGTGAATGAATTTGCTATAATTGGCTATAATTTTGTCATTTGTGAACGAATTGTCTTCAAACATGAGCACAACTACTTAAAGAGAATATCTTTTAAAGTCCGAAAACCCAGCAAGTCCACAAGAGCTGGAAGTCCAAACAGTGGAACAAGTACAAAAGTGCTGCAATTCCAAATAGTGCAGTTAGTCTAAGAGCGCAGCAAGTACAAAGCGCAACATATCCAAAGTCTAAGAAAGGTATTCGTCCTTTTTTCAAAGCAAGTCTATTTCAAAGTTAATAATACTTAGTCACCTTATGTAGTGCACCAACACACCTACTCCTAAATAATTTCTCCCGACGAACACCACATAAATATTTGACAACCTTTATCATTAGATTTTAATTTTACAGCTCATTCTTTCTTTTTAATGCACACGTAAATTGGCTGCGAAGAAATGTGAGTGTTTTTATGTACTTGTATTTTTATTGACGACTCGCATATTAAACCGTACTGAATCATTCCGCAGATATTAATGCGTCCTATTCAAAATAAGGTTAGACCCAGCTGCTTCGCAGCTAAATAAATGCATTTTAAAGACGCTTTCCTCTCTGGTAGAAAAAAGTCAACTTAAGAACTCTTAATTTTACGTAACAGTGTCAAAACACCTGCCAAATTATCTGAAAGATTCTAATTTTCGTATAACATTTCTTGTGACTATTTTCTACTGAGAAATTACGATTATTTTTAGTAATAAAGATTTTTGACAGGTTATATGGCCCTATATATACGGTTGTTTTGAAATGTAACCCGAGCCGCTAGGCGAGGTTTTTATTGTAAACAACCGTTTTTATACGATCATATAACCTGTCAAGAATATTTATAACGAATTTATAATACAGCAAACTTCCTTTTTCAGAGAAAAAAGTGAGATTTCTTCATTAAATGACAGCAGTCGTGTCATAAAACGATATTAACGACACGATTATCCCATGGAAAGCGACTTTACAAAAGTAAGTATAAAAAGGAAAATAGAGGAATATTCAATATTGAGTTTACCTGTTTGTTTATACACATTCTCTTTAACAATGTCCCTCAGTCATTTTTCTTTCAAATGAGGTTTGCAGAACACATTGGCATGGCGACCATAAAAAAAGTTTTTGCCTCTTGAAACAAACTTTAATTTTGTAATTATTTCACGAGTCAGTAAAAAATATTTACATAAGAAAATCTACTAAATCCATCTTGAGTGAAAACAGACACAGCAACGAATTTGTTTGTTATGTTCGCCTTTAAAGTTCAATGTTAGTATTTTCTGAAAATCACTTAGATTTGCTTCATGATCGTTTCGGAATTTAAAATTGTGTACGAACTTTATCTTCCAACGACCTTAAAATAAAGTATATTGTTTGTTTTCAGATAAACCATTTTTGAATCTTCCGTAATATGCTGATAAATAAGATAAAGCCTATCAGAGTGCACTTAATGTATGTATATGATTGATATCGTTAACGTACATGTTATATGCACCGAATCTTAAGAGTTTACAATATATATTAACAATTATATTAGTATAGTTAACACAAACACACAAATCACGTATAGAAAATATATTTCATATTAATTGCATTGCATATTGACCCACCCTCATACTTCAAACGACTAACCCATCACTGCCGTTGGTTCGAAGTCCACCAGGGACAGCGTTGAGGAATGTGAGGAAGCATTGATTTAAGTACGAATATGCACCTGAGTAGAACCACCGACGTTCTGTAAGTCCCGTAAGTTAGCAGAACAACTTCCTCACATGTAAAAATCCAAAGTTCCTGGGTGGGGTTTGAACAGCGGTGAGGGGCAAAACAACCTTAACCACTCAGCCAAAGACACCTAACGATTTGAAGTTCCATTGAAACATATTACTATCACCAGGAAGGTAAAATTTTAGTCGACACAAAATTAGATCCATTTACGTTACTATTAAGTGAATGCAGAGTACTTCTATTCAAAACCAGTCGCAGAGTGTATTTCCATTTTCAGGGTTTTAGTCTTGGTCTGGCTAACACATATTTTTTCTTGTCTATACACACTATCATCTATTATAAATGGTTTTTACAAGGTTAGCTTTTAAAAAAGCTAGTAGCGACTCGCTTCGTAATTTTTTCCAGGGGTGTGTTTAAATGTAAAAATGACAGTTCTGGTAGCTGAAGAGACTTCAGGGAACATCAAAATAAAAGTGACATATAAAGTTATGGAAGCCAGTTCTCTCAGTTTAACATTTAGAGGAATATTAGTATATATGAAGATGCATGTAAACAGATAGAATGAAGTCCCTATGTCTATGCACATTTACTATATGGCCTGTTGACCTTGACCAAAAAATGTTAGATAGGTAGAATTCATAAAGATGTCTCTTTATACGAAGTTAAGTTGTAATATGTTATTTAGTATTGGAATGATTGACAGACACAACGTCACACAAGTCCTAAAGTAAACACAAGTTGTCAATCAATTCAGCCAGAATAACCGGGATCCTATTAAAACATATAGGGATCCCGGGAATTGACCAGTTCAAGAATATAGATTTCAGAAAAGCTGGGATCGTATTAAAACATATATAGGGATCCCGGGATTTGACCAATTCAAGAATATAGTCTTTGATTTTTCCTATCAATTAGGCAAATAATTATAAGTATTGTGATTTCCGCATTTTAAGTGTTAATAAATAGCTCTAAATAAATCTATATCCTAAGTTAAATAAATTTAACGTTCATTACATACAATAAATTTTTTTTTAAACTTAACGTTTAATGGCCTTTCATTACGACAAAAATCAACACAAATATAGTTTATTAGTTTTTTCCTCTATATCTTATACGATCCCGGATCCCGGGCGTCCCGGATCCCGGCCAGTAAATACATACACTAAATACCGGAAAGGATAAAATGACCGGAAAAAAGGAAAAAGAAAAAAATGCACAGAACCTGATGTACACTTATGTTAATTAACCAAACGAAGACTTACTACAGAGAAAACAGGTGAAATCGCTAAATCAAAAGTCAGTGTAAATATGATTTATTGAAAATAATTCATGAAAACAAACATTTTAATCATCATTATATCTTTGCGCTCAAAACAAAACTTGCTGCCTTTTAAAAATGGCGTGAAAATTGAAGGTTTTTTGACGCTATGTCAGATTAAATTTGATTGGCTACATAATTTTGGATCCTAGCCCTGATAGATAAATTTTGTAGAAAGCTGGAAGCCAAGCTTCGATTAAATTTTTGGATGGATTCGGAGTTTTAGGTTGTTTCTCAGTAAAATCCTAACGTAATACCGGCTCGCCGTGGCGAGCCGGCATAAGACTACACAGTATGTTTGGAGAACGATATTGAGCACATTCGTCCCTTGCATGGTCTTTGATCTATTATCTGTATCCATAATTGAGTCAAGTTATTCTGTAGATTATTATGGGTTTTTTTGGTTCTTTTTTCATTCATTCAACTTTTTTCTTTCTTTTTTTCATTCATTCAACTGGAAGGGCTATTCCTACCCTGGGATTCAGGCGTTGATATTTTTTTGCTTCATAACATACGCGCTATTTCATACTAAATCGTCATAGATAACACAACATCTCTGGTTTTGATAGTATCAACGCCAGTGTCGATTTGCCGTACAGAAGCACATAAAAAAATCGACAGACTGGAGCCAAGGCTAGGCTATTCCCCTTCTTTAGCTGAACATTTGATTAAGGTCGCATTTGCAGCTTATAATACTGATGGCCTAAAAAATCACTGTTTAGTCTGATTATTCACGAAAATGGCATAGAGATTAACTTTTTCTTTATAGACCTACTGGTTTCTTGGCAATATTATTATTATTATTATTATTATTATTTTGATGTATATTTAGAACAACGAAGAAATGTACATATCACATAATATTAACCAGCTAAAAGTCCATATTTGTATACTATATTTTATACTTATTCCTATTCTGTCCTATTATAATAATATCAATATTATGATTGATAATGATGATGATGATGATGATGATGATGATGATGATGATGTAACTCGTGTATATGTCGCTCGTAGATTTGATCTGACCGGATTACACTGGCGCTTTTTGCGACTCGTGTCACCATGGCCTAGTAAAATGAGTACATGCTTCAATAAAATATATTTTTAAAAGTAACACATTTTATTATAGCAAGGATGGTATCTCCAAATCGAACAATGTGTTCATTTATCAACAATATAGCTGTGATTTTATATCATTTCCAATTAACTAGCAGGTTAAACTGCAGGCCTTGGATATCTTAAAAATGGGCACATTTCTCATAAGTATTTCAAATAATGATTTTACACAATAGAAATGTATCATTTGGATATTCTTATAGCATTTGCTGAAAGAAATATTGATAAAGCTTAAAGTTAATTAGTTTGAAAACAGATTAATGATGAATAATAATATTTTGTTCTGAAACATATTATTATGTCAGCGGGAAAATGAGTTTCTAAAATGTTGTAATAACCATCGAGTCAAAACAGCGTTGAGGCGTGAATACATACATGCAAGGGACAGTTTCGATAAATCGTTGCGTCAAGCAGAACGCGCGTACAGGAAAGAAAAATCTATTGAAATAAAAACTATATCGACAAATAATCCCAACGAATTCTGGGATAAGATAAACAAGCTGGGTCCACGTAGTGATAAATCTATCCCGTGTGAAATTATAGACGAAAATGGTAACGTTGTGCGAAATGAAAACGAAGTTCTTGAAAAATGGAAGCGTGACTTTGAGAGTTTATACAACGGAACAGATAATAGCGAATTCGATAGTGAGCATTATAGACGGGCAAAGGTGCATAAATTACTATTAGAAAACAATATCAATGATCCTTTGTATACCTCAAACGTAACGCTTAACGGCAATATCACGTTAAAGAAGTGAATGACCTTGACCTTGGTTTTGAACTTAATGGTAAAAAGGTTTCAATGCTGTTGTATGCAGATGATATCGTTTGTATAGCTAAGACAGAGGAAGATCTACAACGTATTTTAGACACGTTACGTGATTGGTGTAGACGTTGGCGCGTACTCATTAACACTGAAAAATCTAAGTGTGTTCACTTCCGCCGAGGCCGCGCTGCATGCACAGACTTTTCATTCAGGATTGGTGAAAACGTGTTAGAGCTTGTAGATAGTTACAAATATCTTGGTGTAACTTTCCATTGCAAGGGTGACTTCTCATCAAATGCCGACATTCTCGCAAAAAGCGCTGGAAGGGCCCTTGGCAAAACTATTGCAAAGGTTCGAGACCTAAAGCACTTTGGTTTTAATACATTTGAAAAACTATTTGATTCATGCGTTGTGCCAATTATGAATTACTGTTCGAGCGTGTGGGGTTACAGAAAATACCAAGTTATGGAGAATGTGCAGCATCGTGCGATCAGGTACTATCTTGGTGTCCACAGATTTGCACCTATACTTGCAATTACTGGTGACATTGAATGGGTTCCCACCAACTACAGGCGATGGTTAAACATGTTACGAATGTGGAATAGGCTCGTATCGCTCGATGACAATAGAATAACAAAACAAGTCTTCAATGTGGACTATAGCCATTGTCAAAATAACTGGTGTAGCGAAATGAAAGATATTATGTCGAAAATTGGAATGAATGATAACTTTATAAACCGCCAACCAATTAATTTAGCAACAGCTAAACATTCTATTATTGAACACCACAAAACTGACTAGGCTACAAAAGTAACCCAAGTTGCAAAACTGCGAACTTACATGCAATTTAAAAGTGATTTTGGTAAAGAATCTTATTTGGATCTTAACTTACCACGAAACGAGCGCTCTCTTCTCGCACAATTGCGGTGCGGTATCCTACCACTCCGTGTAGAAACCGGGCGGTATGTTGGTGAAACACCAGAATAGAGACTTTGCAAATTGTGTAATACTGGTTCCGTTGAAGATGAACTGCATTTTGTAATGAATTGTTCTTTATATCAAGACACTCGACATAATTATCTCAGTGAAATCCTTTTAAGTGACCAATATGTAGATATGAGAGACTGTGATAAATTTGTAAACCTTGTAAAACATCACCCAAGAAGATTAGCAAAGTACTTGGTAGCCGCATATTTGAAACGTAGAAGCAATTTGTTCCAAAGATAAAGTAAACATTTATTTAAATAAATGTTTGATCCGCTCATATTTGACACTATTCGTACGTACTATGATGAGATATGAAACTATTTTATCGTTAAAGCATACTTTAATAAATGTTCAATTTATGTGTAATGCGTATCACAGATGTAGTTTACAATTTGCATGTTTTCATTAGCCGTTTTCGTCAACCAGTACTTGATACAGTTGATATTGTTAAAGTATATCTGTTACTCAGAATCTTATTATTACTTTTTCATTGATATAAGCATGTTGTAATATTGTGCAGTATAATTATGTGTAACACCACTTTTATATTACACACTTACATGCTGGTAATGACTACTAGTCTACTAGAATGAAGTTACGTTAATCACATATTTAACATATTTGAACATTGTTTATTTTCCTAGTGTAGAACTTGAATTTTCGTTTCGTTTAAGAACTTCACTTATAAAACAAGTAATACAATACACACTTGTTCGATTCCATGTCCCGGCCTTGCTAGATTTGTTTTTGGTATAAGGCTGGTTATTGCATGAGATCGTATATCGGCGATGCATGTTTCTTGATTGAGTCACATTTTGCTAGACAGTTATGTCAGAATGACGTTAACGAGTTCTTAAATGATGTACATTTTTGTATTTTTGTATACTGTACTGATCTCAAGTAATACTAAGTAATACTAAGTATCTAAATATGTACGTTAGAAGTATGGTTTCACTGTAAACATAATGTTACATTAATAATTGTTATTGAATCCTATAATTACTATACTAAAATGAATACAATTGCTAACCTGTACTGTTGTTTACAGTATATTTACTATACTCATGACCATTGATTCGCTTATTGTTTTCATGTTTATTGTTTTGACAAGTATTATGTGACTTATAGGCCCGATGGGCCGGGTGCATGCCTTTATGTAACTGTATATTGTCATCATTATTTATGTTTGCACATGTCACTTTAATAAAATATTTACTTACTTTATTATTATTTTTTGCTATATAAATATAGAAAATATCGGAACATGTATGTCACACTTGTCAACAATATTCATGTATTATTATTATTTTGTGAACAAAACAAATGTCGGGCGACAAAACAGACAGTTAAAAAAAATCTAGACATAATTCTTATGAACAAATAATTATTGCTAGCTTCAGCAATTGTAAATTTGTACACAAACTACAATAATAACTCTTAATCAAATGATTTCTCATAAGTATGGACAAACATTAGCACGGACGGACGACCATACGTCCTTCATGGCGTTTGACACAGGATAGAGCTTTGGTAAATTCATCAATCATAGATAGCATTCAAACGAGAGAAAAAAGTATGTAAAATAGAACTTAAATCCTTTATTACATCTCCGTGAACAGCTGAAGCTGTCATAATTCTTGTCAATTTACTATTTACCCAACATATAAAATATGATATCGGTATTACTGTATCGATTTGTAGGCGGGACTACTTAATGAATTAGAGCCACGCGATTCGTTTAAGTTATAATTGCGATTATAAATATCTTTCATGTCCAATATTTATAAACTACCGCATGACATAGAAAAGTTCGACTTTATCACGAACTTCGAGATGTTGTGAGAATCTACTTATTACGTAAGTCGTTTATTATTATTATTATTATCATTTTCTGATTCGTTTTATTTGATCTAATTGTTTTTAGATATTAATTAATCACTTCATACATGATTATTTTCTAAATAAAGTAACTTGAAAAATTTATTTTCAAAACCTCTGCCTCAAATTTATTTAGTAAGGACGGATTGTAACAATAGTTTAGTCATGTATATCCATAGATGTACGAAAAATTAATCACTTAATTAACACTTGGCCTAGGTTCTTTACCAAAATTTAAATTTTCATTTCTTTGATATATATGACATGATTAACGAATACACCGTGACGAATGTCGGAAAATTCCCGTAAATGCAATTTTTATAAAACATGCATAGCTCTGTCCGGAGATCAAACGAGCTAGGCACTTTGAGATGCGCACATGCACTTTTTGAGAGCTACATTTTAAACAAAATAGAAGAGAAAAAATAGACTTTATTGAGAATTTTGACAAAGTTAAAACATTATCAACATTTATTGTATTTTTTTTCCTTTCGAATTTCTCGTACGTGTTTCTTTGAATTTGATAAAGAAAATACCATAATGTAAAATGTATTTTTGGCTTTTTTGTCATTAAAGAAAAGCAGAATTTTTAGTTAAACGTTTTATATTTGCTTTCACTACCTGTTTTATTTTTCTTTACTTTCTTTCCTTCATAAAATTTCCAAAACCAGTAATTAATAGATTTCGTGAAGAAAATTGTTGGAAGAAAATTGATGATATAATTCATGGGTTATCCTTTAGTTCCCCTATGTGATACGAACTATATAAAATACATTTTTTGCCAGGCGTATGTTAAAGGGAATAAATGATGGCAGACTTAATATAGATATCAGTTTGTACAGATTCCCATATAATCTAAGGAGGTGTGTAAGGAAACGGTCATTGGTATGTTGGTCTGGGATTTGTACCCGGCTTTCATTGGGTTTACTTGGCTGGGTTGTTTTAGTGCCTTGGCGTCCCTAGTAAAACTTATTCAAGGAGAATACAAAACTTTAACCAAAGTTTTCCTACAATAACCGTATTAAATAAACAATAAATGTTTACAATATTACACTTTAAAGCAGCATGCCTCAAAATTGATACTTATTTTCGTATGTATTAAAGAGAAAAGTATTGTCAAGTGCACAAAGAAAGTAATTTACACATTGCAAATGGCACTTAAAATCTACGAAAATTACAAAAAATAGATAAAAAGAATGCACTTACTGCGCTAGTCACGCAGTAGCAATAAAGTGATGAATAAAGAAAAATCAGTCTTTAATTGCATTTAATTGCGAATATTTTTATGTTCCTTAAAATGTAAGTACGTCTTTCTCAAAGTTGATTTTCTTGAACAGTTTTTGCCCATCTGGAAGCATACATCTTTAATGACATTATCGTCAGATTTATCGTTGGATATATCGACAAAGAAAAAAAATCGTGCAAAATTTGAATTTCTAAAAATCTTAAAATCTTTTTTGTCATAATTTGTGCATTTTAATACGTTTTCCCATTTAGGAAAATAAATATGCGTAGAAGAAGCGTATTTTTTTCAAATATACAAGCATCAATTACACGTAGTCATGTGATACTATTTTTTTTTATAATACAGGACGTTTGTAACGTCGCTTTTCATTGGACAATCGTGCCGTCTTTATAGTTTAATATACAAGGCTGCTGTCAATTTTTGAAAAAAATCTTACTTTTTCTCAAGAAAAGGAAGTTTGCTGCATTATAAAATCGTTATAAATATTCCCGACATGTTATATAACCTATATTAACGGTTGTTTGCAAGCGGCTCGGGTTATATATACAGGGACATATAACCCGTCAAAAAAAATAACTAATTATATAACGTGATACTGAAATCCCTTAAACTAGTATGGAAAGTTCAAAATCCTAAGCAGGACGAGTCCATAATTATAAAGACAAGAGAGTTATGGTTCTGTTTTAGTAATTATCTTCATAAGACACTAATTTAAGTATATTGAATAATCTTTAAAATAATAAGGAATCTACGTTACAGTGTAAAAGGACATTGTGCGGTCTTGTCGGAGCTTGATCCTTGGACGTTCGGCATCTCTACAGACTTATGTCCCCTTTATTCTCTAGATTTAACCATCATACAGATAAATATAATTAAATAATTAGTTTACAGATTTTTAACATTTTAAATAGGTATAGCTATTCATTTAAAATCCAAAGATTTTCTTTTCTTATAATTGTCGTCTGCTGTTCTCTCGAAGTTTTTGGCAACTGATTCTGCCTTTTGCAACTAGTGCTGTCTGATCATGGTTTGCACTGTTCAGTCAGTAAATATTTGACTTTTCCCCCATAAAATGATGAATAGTTTTGTCCAAATGGAAAGATGGACAAGTCCATTTAAGGTAAATGAGTTTTTTTAACCTCGTATTTCGCCTTTAATAACCTAATGTTTTAAATATTTAATTTAACCTCGTATTTTAATTATTTCATTTTTGCTCTTCTTTTAAGTATTAAAAGTATTGCCTTTAACCTCGTATTTTGCCTTTAATAACCTAGTATTTTAAATATTGAATTTAACCTCGTATTTTAATTATTTCAATTTTGCTCGTCTTTTAAGTATTGGCTTTAACCTCGTATTTAAAATATTGCCTTTAACCTCGTATTTTACCTTTAATCTTTTAAGTTGTGCCTTTAATCTCGTATTTTAAGTATTGCCTTTAAATAACCTCGTATTCGTATTTGACTGAGGATGTAAATTTTTATAGTAAAGCATTCGAACAAGCATATTTTCGCCTCATTTATTTTTTACATGTGCTTGTCGAATGTCTTTCTTTACGACAAGTTGGATGGTAGTAAGCATGTTTAAATAAAGAGCACGCCCTTAACAGCACCAACATATATGTGGCCAGTAAGTGGGATCTGTTCGAATTATCTAAGAAACAAACTAATATGCAAAGTTAAATATTTTATTATTTTCTAATAAAAAATTAAGAAATATTCAATATTTATAATACTTATCACTTTACGGTGACAAAATATGGATTTTTCCTTTTTTCTTACTTGTATTTGTGGAGCTAAATCAGAGATGAACGCTATCATTTTTTTTCATTTGACTGGGGTTATCATATGTGTAGCAGAAAAATTGTATCTTTGTAAAAATGATTTATCTAAAAGAAAGAAAGAAAGAAAGAAAGAAAGAAAGAAAGAAAGAAAGAAAGAAAGAAAGAAAGAAAGAAAGAAAGAAAGAAAGAAAGAAAGAAAGAAGATAAAAGTATCAAATGAACTTTGTATCTGATTATATATCTTATAAATTAAACGGGTTATTAAGTATGAAATTGAAAGTATTGAAGTTGACTTTTACCCAAGGTTGGTGGCCACAATAAATTGCTTATTATCTACGCAAGATCATTTTGACAAATTGCTCCTAATGTGAAACATAAGGTCGCGCATATCAATAAAAGAACGGTAATTTGAATTAATGATTTCTTTTTTGTCTGTCCGCGTACGTTACTAAATACCGTAATTGCTAGTTGTTACTCGAGTGAACCCGAAAATTTGAATTGCAGAGGTCATATTTAAATAATGGTATATAATTGATAATTGTTATTATTGGCCTATGACACTATTGTCTTCTTTCATGATACGGGGGTAATAAAATCTTGAAATTGAAAAATTAAATGTTTTCGCTTTATAATATTTTTGGCAAGGTCGAGGTGACTATAAACGGTGTATGAAAGTAAATTTAAAGATATTTACAGATAACTTAACGAGATTTTTATGCCATACTAAGGTATTTGTGCGAAAAAGGAAACAGTTAGGTTCAGGGGTTAAGCTAAAATCCGTGTTATAACTAAAAAAAAAATGTAACAAAAATCATATTTCCACGATGTCTAATATTAGTAATTGCCTCTTCACATGTTATTTGTGTCCAATATCATCTACCTTTCCCTCCGATTGTCTCCGCAGTCAGTATAACAAGTATCTTTTGGTTTTATCAAGATATAAAGGCACATTAGAAATGTTCTATATTTTATTTCTCAAAGATTTGTTTAATATTTGTTCACAGGTTATTCTTTGACCAATTATGGGAACAATCTTTTGCGTCTGTTACATTTTGGCAATTTAGCACAGTTGCAATGGTTTAGTAGTCAAAATGCTACATTTTGCTACTTTAATGACAAATAATTTTACATTCAGCGCTTCTGTCTTCAAGTGATAAGTAGCAAATATTTCCTTAATGTCAAGAACAGCTAAATTATTAATGTCATGTGATACTGTGAACTACTTATAAACGATGATGCACGTCTGCTCAGGAATATTGAATTATAAGTTTATATTATAAAATACCAATTAATGCTAAGAATGCTTAGTTGTTGTTGTTCTTGTTGTTGTTGTTGTTGATGATGATGATGATGGTGTTGTTGTTGCTGTTGTTGTTGTTGATGATGATGATGATGATGATGATGTTGTTGTTGTTGTTGTTGTTGTTGTTGTTGTTGTTGATGATGATGATGATGTTGTTGTTTTTGTTTCCATCCGAAGACTCAGCATTCATATTATTTCGTCAGATATTCAATATGTCCTGAAAGTCGAAAAGATATAATAGCAGGGGTTTTTTTTTTTCGAATAATAAATTATAATACGCATATTGAGCGACATACAAAAACAAGAAAATTGTCCAAAATCGTGTAGTCCATTAAATCAAAATTGTATGAAATTAATATCTCAATCAGTCGAAAAATAAACAAAGTTAACATATAGTTTGAAACGTACAAACAAAAGTGTTCTTTCTACGTTGATTTCTGTTTGACCTTCGTTTTGGTGATAAATATATACACAGTTATGCGAATTAAGTGGTTATAAAGCTATTTAACCATTTCATCTGCTATTTTCGGTATTTGTTTAACTTGTTTGAGTTACAAGGAACTGTAATACAATACAGCAATACAACCGTTGGAGTGTAACATTGTAAAGTCTCAGATAAGCTGGTGGTGATGATAAAATTCTTCAAATGAGAAAAAAAGAGATACGATTAAAGGCCCATTATGCCTCAGGAATTTTTGGTAAAATGTTATAGTTTCTAATAATTACTTATTGGCCATTTACCTGAACCATCATTTGCTTTTGTTGATTTTGGCGTTATATATATAGGGATTTAGTATTTTGTATGGAAGTCAAAATACTACTTTGTTTACATTTTGCTACTTTAATGCCGGTAATTTCACATTCAGCGCTACTTTCCTTAAGTGATAAGTATCTAACATGCATCTAACCATTATTTACACATTATAGAACTCGTGTTCCTTCTAGCTAAAGAAGGGCAAATTAATTCTTTTCTGAGGCATAATGTCCATTTAATGCAAGTACACAAACAATATTAACAACGAAGCAATCATAAATATATGTATACATGTATTTATACGTTCTTAAAAATAATTTTGAACAAACCTAAATGGTGTTGTTACATACGTCCGAAGCGAGACTTATAATATAAGGCAATTACTCAGTCCCTTTACAAATCTTGATTGCAACAGTTCATTTTCGTTGCTGTTTTTGCTGTTGATTTTTTTTCTCGCTCGTTTACGTGATAACTGAATCACCAGACTCGTCCTTTTATTATTCAAAATTCGATTTCTATCATCAATTTGCCCTTTTAGACTTAAAATGTCGAGAATTTGAAAGCTTATGTAATAAATCGCATAATAAATTGAGTTTCCCTAATTGAATCCCGTTGTACCTTTTCATGAGACTATTGTAGCCATTTCAGTAACCAGATCAGATTCGAGCTCAGAGGTATCGTGTTTGAAAGATACATTTATTTATGGACATTAGGAACTTCCGGTTTTGGGGGGAGATGTACATAGAACTGCTGTTGAGAAATGTTATTTAGTTTTTGTATAGATGTTGTTTTTTTCTAAATCAAAGCAAGTTGCTTTTACGATCCCATTCACTTCCTTTTTCTATTATCTATGTAAACAGATTATTAAAACTGAAACGTTTCATGTTTAGAAGAACCATTATTTCTATCCGGAGTAAAGAATAAAAAAAGAAGTGCTTGAAAAAAAAAATAGTCCGAAAAAGGCCGACGCGCGTATTAGTTTTTGTTTCCTTTTCAATAGCGTGCATATGATATCTCTCAACGTTACTTTAACATCTGTCAACACTATTGAGCGGTTAACACATCAATGGTATCTTTCTGTTCTGAATTTCTATTGATAAACCCCTTCAAGAAATTAAAGTAAAAGCTACAGTTAACGCGAATGCGAGTAGACAAGATGCAAAAGGACCCTCAAGTAATTGCAGTATTTTATTCGATATATCGACACCCTTCTTAACAAGTCCTTAAGATCACTCTTACTGAGCGAAGCCCAGTACAATCTCTATGCAACAATGGCGGTGCACTAAACATTTGAAAAGTGAAACATCGACTTCATACAACTGTTTTCTTTTCGTGAATTTCATGATACAATAAGCGTTTATTTTTCATTACAATTGAAAGTGATGTCTGAAAAAAAAATATTTGTGCACGAGCAATTGCTAAATAGCCTTGATTTTTTTTTTTTTTGAATTACTTTAAGAGGTAAACTGTTCATTGTCGAGATTTTATGATTTTTTTTTCATTTATAAATTCAAGAGTATTTTATTTAGTCCATACTGATCAAGTTATAAATGATTCGATTGTTTTGCAGGTGTGAGAAAAGTATTTGAATCAAAATGGCTGGTGATCATCGATTCGATTTCAATGGAAGGGATTGTAACAAGGGACTCGAAGATTGTGATGAAAGCAAAGCAATAGATTACAGTATATGTGAAAGAAACATGTCTAAGCAGTCTGCTTATAGCGTGAACAACGAGGAGAGCCTTCGTCTTCAATCCAGTAGCATTGACCTTTGTTCACCTTTTGGATTTCAAAAACCTACACCGTACCACAAGAATTACGATTTGTCTAAATACAGACGACATGTCAGCCTGGAAAACGCAAACGGCTTGAAAGACAACGTATCTAAATATACAACTTCTGATTCAGAAAAAAAATTTCAAGTTGGCAATTACTTACGAGAATCGTTCGGAAAAACGTTGGAAACATGGCCTCTTTTGGGGGTTCCTTCGGCTTTTCATTTCTGCAATGACTTTTCTAAAGAACGGCTAAATGCCAACCCTATAATGACATTCTACCCACATATTATGTTGGATTTACCAAATATGTATAGGTATACTAGTCAATATCCGGTTTTACATTCCGGTACTCCCCCGTTTACCGCATATGACAAACTTTTAACATCTGATGCCTTCTTTCGGTATGAAGCGAGTAAATTTAGAATGTATCAAAATCCTTTAGATAGCGTCAATATGTGTATTGAAAAGTCATTAAATCCTGAGACTGTGAAAGAGAAGGGTTTGTCGCAACGGGACGGAGCGCTAAATCTTTCCGTACAGAAAAAACCGCGAGCTGAACGCGGCCATAAATCTCTACCATACCCTTTGGCGAAAAAAGACGGAAAGATGCATTACGAATGCAAATTTTGTATGAAGTCGTTTGGTCAACTGTCCAATCTGAAAGTACATCTGCGAACACATACCGGTGAACGTCCTTTTACTTGTCGGACGTGCGGGAAGGGTTTCACCCAGTTAGCGCATCTGCAGAAACATCATTTAGTTCATACGGGTGAACGTCCACATGAGTGTTCGGTTTGTCACAAACGTTTCAGCTCTACGTCTAACTTGAAAACACACCAGCGCCTACATAATGGAGAGAAACCATTCGTGTGTAAACAATGCCCAGCAAGATTTACACAGTTTGTACATCTAAAATTACACAGAAGAATACATGTTAATGAGCGGCCATTTGAATGCCCGCATTGTAACCGGAAGTACATCAGTCCGAGCGGACTGAAAACCCATTGGAGAGGAAGTGACTGTCCACAGAGAGTGCCGCTAGGTGTGTGAAAATGCAATGATGTTACAAACATACATTAACTGAGACATAAAACATCAAAACAATTGAATTATTCAACTGTTTTCTGATATATTAGAATATTTACAATAGTTGTAAGATATTTATAATAGTTGTATGCGATGTGTCCGTTCCCTGATAAACTATACCTTTAATGCATATCATATCCATGCACACATGTATAACTATCTAGATATACAAAGGAAGCGAAATGTGAAATATGCGGAAATTGAAACCAATACCCTTATACCCGAATGATAGCAACATATAAAACACATTCGGTTACTGTCGAACGTCAGCTTTCAAAATCTGTTGCAGCGTAACTCTACACGGATGATTCAGATTTTTATATTGACCAGAAATTGAAAACAATGCTTATCTCTGAATCTGTAAAGCATAATGGCAAGGAAAATGAAATAAATAATGAAAAATAACCCGAAACAGCCGGTTGCTTTCTTTATAGCAGTACTCGGTCATACTTTTCTCTAATTACTGATATACGCGTGCGCATTCACTCTCGCCCGCCACTCTTAAAGGATTTATTACGAAGGGAAAATATTTTATTATGAAAACAATATTTATTTATGTAACATGTGGCGCTGTTTTGTTATCAGAAACAGCTTCTTATGTGTGTAAAAGGCTTTAAATGTTGACAATATTAAATAAATTATAATCATACTTAAACTGTTTACTGATAAATTCTAGTAAATCTGACAATCCCCGCTGTTGCTCAAATTTGATTTACTTCTCTTTAACGAGCGCACGTTTTTTTCCTCCGAGTAAATTTTAAAGCACCACGTTGTCTACAAAACCTGCAATGTACGGTTTGACAATGACAACCTTTCGGCCATTTCCGCCAAACTCCGGATAAGAAAACCGAACAAGAACGGTACAAATTATTTTTTTTAAATATAGATACATAAAATGTAAATGCTGGAGTTTCTTGAGTGAGTTTATCCTGTTATGTCATATAAAAGTATAAAATTAATTAAGTATAAAAACTACATTAATTTTTGCTTATCATACTGTGTTGTTAGAAACCAGAAGTACAAGTGACTTAATTATAGTGACTGAGAGAGAGGCAATGCATGTGCCTAAGTGATAATATGTGCAGTGTGCATGTGCAGTGGGTAATATAGGCAGTGAGTAATATATACACTGGTAGATATGGTTTATATCTTACAGTGACAATTTGAGTGTTTCCTCGAATAAGACACTGGAATGCCACTTTTGGATAACGGACACCAAACCGATGTTTCAACCATTTCGAATGGTAATTTTATAATGAAAAGTCTGATATGAACACGTTTGACTTTATTACTTCCAATTCTATACATCGGTGTGAGGTTTCAGGCACAGTCATATTATAGGACACGTTTTATTTAAAACAAACGTTTAATGACAACGATTTTCACGCAGGCGCTGTGCGTCAGAAGAATTTAAAAAACGCTTTTAAAATATCCTTACATGGCTGACTTCTGGGAAATGTAGAATTTTTTCTTGAGATTTGTATTTTATTTTGCTAATTGACAACGTTAGAAAATAACTTCGTCTATTCATTCGTCATTGAATATTAACTAATGGGTCAATTAATGGCCTTAATTCTTCAGTTTCAAATCTTTGTGGCTGAATTGTATGAATTAAGACGTCTAAAAGCTTGTCACTGCTAACGAAATTAAAGCTCATCTGGATAAACATTTATTCAAACAATGAAGCCCCGATCTTGTTACATTCGATGCCTGTAACCAAACACGAATTTACAATTAGTCTGTTTTTTCATTATTTTATATTTCTGAGAAGAAATTATTTAACCTTAACCTCAGGCATTTGATAACCACTGAGTGTTTTTTGTATGAATAGATCGAAGCACTGCAACTGAAGAATATTAAAATTTTGATAATCGAAAGAATAAATTTAAAGGTCGCTGGGGGATAAAGACTTTAAATCGCGAAACAATTCCCTTTTGTACTTTGGATTTCTACACATTTCAGGTGTTTCTTTTTAACAAGCTGCCTACTAATATATGTCAAATTATTGCTAATGCCAAATGTATAAATAAATTTATGCTCTGTATTTTACCTTAAGCTTGCTACTGTCCTTATTAATTATAACTACCAAAGCATCTACTCTCCGTAATGATGTTATTGCCTAGCAATCTACCGTACCTAAATGATGTCATAATTAAAGTATCTTCCCGCCTCATCAAGGTATCGACCCTTCAGCTTTTATTTTCTGTTGAAAAAAAACAACAATTCCGTGTTGTTTCAAAGTCAGTATTTCAGTTATTTTATTTTGGAAAAGTGCATCGTGTCACTATTAAGCCTTCTTCAAAATAGCGTTCAGGAAAGCTGAAGGCCGCTTTAACTGGTGATCTACCAGCCTAAAGAGGAACTGCACTGAAGGTGAATATATGGTGGTTGATTTGGTATATTGCGCGTTGCGTTGTCGAAAACGCAACCTATATCGTTATCGCCTTTTCGTCTTGTCGCTAGCGGCAACACGACAAAGCGCCAAACGGCGCGTTGTCGCGCTGTCGTCCTGTCTCTAGCGAAGCACGCCAAACGGTGCGTTGTCGTGCGGCGCGATGTCTCCCTGTCACTTGGCTTATAAGCCAATCCTTCGATTTCAACCGAGCGACAATGTGACATCGCGATAACACCACACGACAACGCGCAGTTTGAAACTTTACATTCATTGCTTAGTACTACTTGGTTCCAGGAACGGATTTTAAAATGACTAAAAAAATGCCTGGCCCAAACATCTCCGCCATTGTATCTTTAATTAATCTACTTATATTTTTATAACTACATTCTTTAATGTACCCATGTAAATTCCTATATTTTTTCTAATTTACATAGTAGTAATTTATTAACAAACAGTAATTGGAAAGCAACCTTTTTGTACGATGCCCCGCTGGGTCCTAAATATGTGGCTAAGTTTTGTTCTGTGCATGAACGTCGCTTTGACTTACAAAGGGAAGAAAGATAACTCGTGAACTCTTAACAATATGTTATAGTCTTGCATTAAAAATATGCATTAAGTTATCCTGTTTTCTGGTACATGTAATTATCTTTCATCTATAGAAAATAGATTAATTAATGCATAAAATTATCCTGTTTTATCGTAATTATCGTGGGGCTTGACTATAAACTGAGGTGGATAAACTTTACGTAACTTTTATCCATAATATTTTTTGCCCTATACACTGAAAAAATACCCTTTAAGACATTAAATAATAACCATACAAAATACGAAAACTTTTAGAAGTTGTATTGTACTGGATTTTTACGTCTCGTCAGGGTCTTTCAAACAGAATGAAATATTATCTTGTGATTCTTTTGATTGCTGCACACTGGTCAATATATAGGGCTATATGTGATCATTTTATATCTGCGTATCCCTTCAAGTCAATTGTGCCACTCTTAATTGTTTGAAATGCATCGTCAACTATAGGGATTCAATATAACTAAACTATATTTATCACGCCAGAGGCTCGCATAATATAATTTTATTCAACTCGATAAATTCAGTGTTGAACTTACACTCATTCAATATCCTCTATATAATATAATTATCAAAATTAAAGTTGAAATTTTAACATAATTTTCTTGATTTAGGCCTACTGGTGTATATTTTTTATCTACTTTTGTCACATTTTAATCTGAATTTAAACATAGGCAGCGCTATATAACGTAGACCTCCACCAGCCTTCAGCACGCCCGAGAATTTCTTAAATAAATCTTTGATCAAGGGAAGTAACCACTGAAAAAACGTGTCATCGTAATTTTTACAAGTTACAGTTCACACAGTCACCGTCCATGCAGCGGTTTTCAAATTAGGTTACCTTCAAATTAACGAGGTAATAAAGTTTCCTTTTAAAAGGAAAGGCTTGCACAGTTGTGCCTTCATCCCAACCCTTTAAAATTGTTTTTTTTTTGGTTTCAATTTATTATCACATTTTTTTTTGAATTACGGTATTTGTAGATCTATATCATAAAGGGTTTATTTAGATCTAGTTGTTTTTTGTTTTTTTTTTGGAAAACTGAATATTTTTTGTCAAAACGATTTGAAATCTATTCTCTATTGTATAAAACTAATAAAGAAAATGATCAATCGTAAAAATACTAACGTGATACTGAAGGAAAACAAGTGTGCACATTTCATTTCCCCTTTTTCGCAGCGAAATCATTCCTTTGCTTTATAGACAAGTAAATGCACTAAAATACTTCGTTACGTGGTACCAATTAATAAGCATGTATCAACTATGTTACACGATCACAAATAGACGATGCGCTATCTGTAGATCAGCACGTGGCAAGGTTAATGATATGCATGGGCTATTTTTAGATTACCTCACCAAGAAGTTGAATTGCGTTCAGTAGATCTAAATATAACTCGATCATGCGTGATTTGGTAAGCAGGACCACCCTTTGAAGACGGAATACTACTACAGTCACCATTCTCTATTGTATAAAACTAATACAGACAAAAAAACAATTATAAAAGAAACTAACTTTTGCGTCTTGAAAAACAATTGAAACGGAACAATTTCGTTTATAATTTATTACGTTTAAACCGATAAATCAAGTAAAAATAGAAATCCTATTTATATAAACAAACTGGGATTACCGAAGTAACTAAAATAGCTTAGATTTCCGTAATATTACTTCGTATGATTCCGCAGTATGACGGAATCGCCCGAATTGTCACGATTGCAATCGGAACTACATCGGCTATTATCATTAATTTGAAGAGTGACGGAAAAGGCCGAAAAGTTGCGATTGGCACGATTGCAGCTGGTTTCCAGTTCAATCATGCACCAACAGATGTAAGCAGGAAACCACCTAACCGGAACAAGTTTTCCAAATGAAATGGCTTGCATCCGTGGCTGCAAGCCAAAAATTGGATTCGTAAAAAATAGGGTTGGTTTGTTATAATTGTCATTCTCTTTATTAATTTTGTTTAATAAGAAAATGAAAATTTAATAAATACTGATTGGATATTTAAATGCACTTGACACGACTGTATTATTGTGAAAATTGTGTTCAAATTATGAAAGCCTAGGCCCTCACCTGCACAGGTAGTCTCAATATAATATTTTCGACGGCAAGACAGACCGATTTTATAATCTGATATTTCATAGATGTCTGTCTTTACGTCTCAACCAGTTACGATCAAAACTGTGGCGGAAATCGAGCTGAGCAAAATTTCAAATTTTTCACTGCAACATGAAAATTTTCACATGTACATTTGTTGTTATAAACCACACATTGTCCTTAAAAGAATCCTCAAATGACAAAAAATAACTTAAATTATCTAAAAAACTTTAAAATGGTACCTGTCGCTGAAATGTAAACAGCGAACGTGATAACCAATGAAAATGTTTGTTTTCATTTAAACATAATATGAAATTAGGTGCTACCACTTTGGCCCCGCTCGGACTTTCCGCGTATTAGTACACCCGAGGAGGCTGCACGCGGTAAACACATACAAAAGCGCTATATCGTAAACATTTTTCAAGGTGTTAGTAAATATTTTGAATTCTTTTAAATTTAGAAACTGCTGGTGATGAATATATACTTCAAAATTATATTCTCGTACCCTTGTCGCCAAAAAAATCACATAGTTTTAACATGTTTAACAGCGAAAACCCGGAAGATCCCTCCTACAAAATTTCA